TTTCCTCTCACCTGCATTTCCGGTTGAGGCCCATGGTTGCCTGGTTCTATGAAAGTCACACTAGGGAGCCATCACAGCTGGGAATGCAAGAAAGAGAAGCTACTGAAATAGAGTAAAATTGTTCTTGGCCCCTTGGATGACTGCAGCATCCAAAGCTGCCATTGGGGCGGTGCCAGAGCCGTCTCCATGTTTATTGTTCCTGCTGCTGAGTCGTGAAAACATCTGCCCACAAGCCCTTCATAGCGAGCTGCACGTGGAAGTAGACCGGCTCTCCAGGCCTCTTCATCGCCACACAGCAGGGCTTCCAGTGGCCACGCTAGTGAATTTTATAGATCAGGGAGAAGGATCACACACATGTGGCGGGTGGCATACAGGCCCCTTGCAACTACAGTGCTTTTGAAAAGCCTCCAGACTGGACAAAGTGAGCAGCAGAGAAGGTCATCTTTATATCTCATCCTGATTTCTTTTGTTCTGGCCAGACCTCCAGAGCTTACGAGTGGGAGCCTGGGAAACCAAATGAGTTTCCAGCTTATAGTGAATCTACTATTAAACTAACCTGGCAGTGTAGCGTTGTCCATTGTACCACCTTGGTCAGGGTCCAGTCTGTGAAGTCTTGTTCCTTCTGAAAAGGCTGGATGAGAGAAGTCATCGCATGACTAGTGTTGCATTGCTCCTCTGTTGAGCAGTGACAGATGGCGAGGCCTTGCTTTTTGTCTTGTCGTTGGATAGGAAATCAGCGATGCAGTCTGGCTGTATTCCAAGTGTACTTATTGATTATCTCAATGCACCAACCTGTCCTCGAACAGAGATGCCAGCAGTCTCCTCTTTCAGAATCTCAGCTCAGCACCGAAGCCTAGTCCCCAGGAGCAACTCTGCTTCTAGAATTGACTCAAACCAGAGCCCCCCACAGCGAGTAAACGCTTCCTGTGCACTCCACTCCCTCTAGTCCAGAACCTTGGGCGGCCAAAATCTAACACGAGTGTTGCTTCCAAGACTACACAGTCACCTGCACACAGAGGAAAGGACCTTGGAAGACTGCGTGCAATCATGCCACCAGGTGTTGCCAGCCCTCACAAGAGCATGCCTTTCTGGCCTGTTTGGATGGTTATACATGAATTCACTGAGGCTACTACCCTTGGGCCTAGCTTGCTGTTGTGATACAATTACAACACTTGGAGTTGTGATGTTGTGTGGGCTCTGGATGTTCCCACGCCAGAGAGGAGGGGATGATTAAAGGGGGAATGTGCAGTTGAGAGGAGAAAGTTCCCCTATTGCTTAGGCTTTGATCCTGCCATTCATGAGCATTTCATAGAATCCTAGAACTCTAGAACTGGAAGGGACCTCGAGAGGTCATCAAGTCTAGTCCCCTGCCCGTATGGCAGGACCAAGCACCATCTAGATCAGTGTTTCTCAACCTTTATTTAAAAAAAGTACTCTTTTAAAAAAGAAAAAAAAAAGCATCCCCAGCACCTACAGTTTTCAGACACACATCATTTTTTTTTCTACCATTGCAACACATTTGTTTAAACAACTTAATCATAGCCAGGCGGGCGATGACATTTTTGGGTGTTAAAAGTACAAGAATAATAAAACACTGTAAAACATAAAACAAAAATTCAGTTTTCTCCAAGTTTCAGTTGTGTTGACATGCCCCCGAGGTTTCTCTTGAGTACCCCTAAGGGAACTCATACCACTGGTTGAGAAACGCTGATCTAGATCATCCCTGATAGCGGTGTGTCTAACCTGCTCTTAAATATCTCCAGTGATGGAGATTCTATAACCTCCCTAGGCAATTTACTCCAGTGTTTAACCACCCTGACGGGTAGGAAGTTTTTCCAAATATCCAACCTAAACCTCCCTTGCTGCAGTTTAAGCCCATTGCTTCTATCATCAGATGCCAAGGAGAATAATTTCCTCCTCTCCTCCCTGTAACACTCTTTTAGATACTTGAAAACCACTATCATGTCCCCCCTCAGTCTTCTCTTTTTTTAAACTAAGTAAGCCCAATTCCTTCAGCCTTGCCTCATAGCTAATTTGTACAGCTGGAATAGCAAGGGCACATAGGTGAGCAGTGAGGGTGGTTGTAGAAGCTCCGCGGTGGTGCTCTGTTGCCCTCTGCTCTATCCCGAAATTCCAGTTGTGGCCCTCGGCTCTGGATTGTAACTGAGACCTCTCTTGCCGCTCAGGGTTCCGTGGAAGCTCAGAGATTCTGAAAAGTTGCATCAGACCTCATAGCCAAACAAGCTGGTGTTCTGTGCCAGCCCCAAGCCTTCTGGGGAGAATGTGACACAGCTTATCAAAACAAGACAAGCAGAAGCCTGTCGCAGCAGCTGATGTTTCATCTGCTGCTTTTGCATCAGAGGTTTTAACATCCAGCAGCTTAGCACACACTTACCAAAACAAGTGGTGCAATAAATACTGGGCATTTTTTGTCCATCATAATACTGATCTTGCCCGGAATTTCCATTTGTTGGGGGTAATTAGCTCTGCCCTTCTCGTTGCTCAATGAACATTATGCTAAGGGTGACTCCAGCGGCTGAGAGGAAGCCACCAAAATCGGTAGGGGAGCAATCATTTCAGCGTGATGGTGTCTCCTCTTCCAAACCCCTGTGGTGTGATATGACCCTGCAAGGGCCCTGTCCAACTCCCGATGCTGTTAGTGTTCGGTTTAACCATTTAATGGTTCATCGGGTAGCTGGACGCATTGTTTGTGCCCATTGCTGCTTGAATCCACTGCACAAGAGAAAATGAATTCCTGTTAGTTGGGTCACAAGCAGTTACAGGATTAGTTGTCACTGTTCAAGTGCAAGGCAGGGCTAGACTAGCAAGGGGAAGGACCACAACACTACATTCCAGGGCACTGGCTGAACCGTGCTCGGACTGGCAACTGCCCCTCACTTTCAGGAGCATTGAATGATTCTCCCTTCCAGCACTCCTCCTCTGAGGATTCACGTACATTAGCCACGTACCACCTCTGTGCGCTGCAATAGGTATCAAAGACCATTAACCCCATCTTGCAGACAAGGATTCATTTAGGGCCTGATCTTGCAGAAGATGGTTTTTTTCCTTGTGGGTGCAAGTTGCACCTGCAAAACTTACAAAGGGTGGAGGGGGGAGTTCTTTTGCCTTGTCTGCATTAGTTGTGAGTATGAAATCCACTTCCTTGGACAAAGGCCTGATCTGCACCTTGAACAAGATACTAAACTAGCTCAAAGGTAGGTGAGAGCCCGTAACCAGCCACAGGTTCAAGCTGTGGGCTACTGCTCAGTTAAAAATAAAGCACTGAAATGACCTGTCCAGGGTGACTCAAAGAGTGACAGTGTTGGAACAGGAATGGGAGTGTCTGAGATCCTAGCTCCCAGACTTTGCTTAGGCTACAACATGTCCTCGTCACATCTCCTCATCCTCACCTTCGTCATCGAATTAGAAATGTCAAAACTCTGCATTGGCCTGTACTTTAAATCATTTCCTGTGTCTAATGCTCAGACACAAATTAATCACCTTTTGATTAAACTTCTTGGGCCCATTGAGCTCTTTTGGAGGCTTTTATGTTACTCATTGCTGGTTTCTGGGCTCCAGTTGTCCTTTGCTTAAGCATGTAAGAAAATGTCATTGCGTCAGTGGCATTTATCATGCAGGACGTGGATAAGAATACATGCTGAGATCATGCCTTTCCATGACGGTCAGGCTGTCATTGAGGGAAAATTTCAACAGCTACAATTTCACTTTACACTAAAGCATGCTAAAATGTATATCATCTTTGGTTGGTTAGCGTTACTCTATGCTGATGATAATGCTACTTAAGAGACCTTAAAATAGCTACACTGAATACTACAGCAAGTTCAAAGGTTCCAGTGATTGCCAGGAGGAAAGGAGCATCTAAGTTCTCTCTTTATTATGATAAGTAGGATGTCATCTGAAAGCCTGATTCATTTGTATGAGAAGGGTAAAACTTACTCATGGCAATGCTGCGGTTGTGCTGGGTAATGTTAGGAGCCGGGTAGGTCATTTGGCTTTGTTTCTTTTAAATGTACTTGCACATTTTTAAATGTCCACGCAATCTGGGCATGTGTACAACTTACTTGCCCCCAAGAACTGGTTACCTCCTGGGAACTGAGAACAGACTGACCTGCTGGCATAGACAGGACACTGTTCTGTGCCCCAGGCATGCACCCCTATGCAGAAGCCGGAATTACAAATGTGCGATGCTGTAAAGAGCAGTAAACACTGGGAATTTACTGTGCTGTGGTCTGAGACAGCCTGAGTCAAGGGCCCACTGACAAGAATACTCCACCCCCTGCCAAAAGAAAAGTCTAGGGAGCCCACATCAGCTGATGGAAATATTGCAGAGATTTTATCTGAGATGACCTTTCCATTGAATACGTCCCTTTCCCAGGGTCTGCTACAGAAATGGACAATGCAGTTCCCCTCCGTCTAGGATTCTGGGGGGAGCTGCGGTTGTTGCAAGGCTGAGGTGGTTTTTGAAAGACTTTGTGAAGCCCAGGTGTTGTAGGGAGAGAGGAGGAGGAGGCCTTGTTTGGTGGATGCGAAGATGGAGCTTTTCCATGCACTTGGGGTGGGAAAAGGATACAGACGGTGCTCTGTCTTGTACTCCACTCGGCAAGGGCTGTCGGGTCGTGTCACTCACCCACCGCACACTTTGATGGGCCCGTTCCTGCCTGGGAGAGCTGGGTTAGCATATCGAAATGGAGACGAATCAGGAACTAGCGAGGTTGTTCTTACACTCTCAAAACCACTCTAGCTCCCTCCACAGGCAAGATCAGTCAGGGTGATACTGTGACGGTCTGGTTAACCACCGTCAACGAGCAGAGGAGTCCAAGTGGGCCACCCGTGGCCTACAGCTGAAAACGTCTCTGTTTTCAGGAGGGGGCAGAATGCTGGAAACCGATGTGGGCACAGAAGGATCCTGCTGCTGGTGGGGTAGGACAGTGCTCTCTACTGCAGCAGATGTGGATTCCGTTTTATGTCTTGCCTTCCAGAACTGTCTGTCCATTCCGGATATCAAGACAGCATTTAGTGACTGCATTAACAAAATTGGGAGGAGAGACTGCCTGACGCAGGCCTGCTCAGCGCTCACTGGGTGAGTGTGGGTCTGGACACCGTCCTGGGGAAATGGTGCTAGAATGAGCTAACCACCCGCTGGGAGAAGTGGGGCAGGCAAAAGGACGGCATTATGTGGGTCAAGTAGGAGCTCCGCTTTCTTGTCCGGGCCTAAGGACTTGTGTGCTTTGCTCATCCGGGCTGTGAACTCGCTTGGTGCTGTTGGAGCTCCGAGCTTTGGATTGGGCCCTGGTTCGTAACCTGGCTTTCTCACCTCATGACCCAGCAACATGATCCCTGACGCAAGAGTTAACTTTACCAGCAGCCCTTTTCCAAAGAAAACCACATGGAAACATGACAGCATTTACGATCCTAGCAGTGGGAGGGATGGGTGGGTATCCGTTGTCAGAAAAAGAGAAGTAATTATCCTCTTGCCAGCCTTCTGGTTTCTGAGGTGGAAGATGGACTTTCGTTTATTAGGAGAGATGTCTCAGTCCCTGACGCAAGAGTTAACTTTACCAGCAGCCCTTTTCCAAAGAAAACCACATGGAAACATGACAGCATTTACGATCCTAGCAGTGGGAGGGATGGGTGGGTATCCGTTGTCAGAAAAAGAGAAGTAATTATCCTCTTGCCAGCCTTCTGGTTTCTGAGGTGGAAGATGGACTTTCGTTTATTAGGAGAGATGTCTCAG